TGGCGGTCAGTTTCAGCAGCGGCTGAATCTGGACGCCAGTTCCGACCTACATACAGATTCAACTTAAGAACAAACCTACTGTCCCTATCTTGACTGCCTGTAGTAACCCAGGGACTGCCTGTAGTAGCAGATCCCAGTTCATATCCCTTCTGCCCCTGAGATGGAGGGAAGACCTGAAGTAGGGGCTTACTGCAACCTATATGACTACCCTAACCAGTAAGCTAGAGGTTACAAGAGAGATCTTCTTTCTGTTTCCTCTCTAGGCCATTTTGTGTACACATGCCAAGAGGGGCTGATCCAGTGGGAGAAATCTGACCACATGCACTGGACTGGGTGGAGAAATGCCTGTATTTCCCCAGTGTGTGCAGTGCTCTGGGTTGGACCACAGCGTGCATGCCCAGAGGAAGAAACATATGCACTTAGGGTACTCCTACTGCAGAAACTGAGGCACCAAGCAAGTTTTGGCACTTACAGGAGCTGGGGGAAAGCTGAAGCTGTAATTTTGGGAATCCCTGTAACGCTTGATTCTGGGGTTTGTGTCTAAATTGACAGGTGTCTAAATCCAAGAAAGAAGTGTGCGCATGCATGTTATGTGCTGTAGTAAGTATAGAAATCTAATAACTTCACTGCAGTAAGCATCTGAGACATAAGCCCACAAATTGTTCAGTACCCAAATTAACAGAGACATTGTTATCATCAGTTAACACCAGGATACTGTCCTGAGATTAGATTCTGATCTTTTACACCAGTGTAAATCCAGAGTAATTCTAGTGAAGTATTCCAATGATTACACTGGAATTACTCTAGAATTAGATCAGAAAAACTGGCTTTTTGTGTTTGAGGCAGGGTTGTTGATATGGGGATAACTATGAAATAAACTGAGAAACTATCAGTCTGGCAACAAACTAGAACAGAGTGCTGCCTGAAGATTTGTGTAGCATTTTGATTTTGTTGTCAATATTCCTGTTCATGTGCGTACATACATTAGACTAAGATATAAAGCCACCGGGATATTGTTAACTATCTTCTTCCCAGCAAAGAACCCTCATTTGAGTAAGCAGCTCTAAAAGTGTGACTATGAGATTCTATATTGAATTTAGTCAAAGGCTGCTATTTAGTGGAGAAAAATTGCAGATATTTAACAATGTATATTTCCTTTCTGGCAGTGTTTTTAGATTTTTTTAAAATATGAAAATTGTGGCAAATGAAAATGAAAATATAATTTTTCTTTTTTTGGTTCTAAGAAGAGACTGTGTAAAGGCAGCTTGCTGTAAAGTTCCAACCAAATTGATGGAAATAGCACTGTCTTGAATACAGTAGTCTGCATATTGCTACTTAGCTGTCAAGCAAAAGGCAGTTATCATTTAGCAGATATAAACGAATCTTTTGTTCCTGGTGCAATATGGATAGTGAAAAATAACTGAAGGTCAGGGAAGATGAAAGAAAAAAAAGTATTTTAAAAGAAAGTGTAAAAAATCATTCTATCTAAATGTAAAATCTGAAGATGATTTAGGTAAAAGTCCCACTTTGGTGTAGAGATAACCTGGGAGAGTGACACATCTCATTTCAGGTGTCGGGAAACAGCTATTGAAAATAAATGACATTCAACAATTCATTCAGTTTCTCCAGTATAGGTGTTTACATCTATGTGCCTCTGTTAAGGATATTAACTGATTAGTTTTGTTATGTTTTTATTACTGATTTTGTTTAGTAAGCGACACTGGGTAAAACTGTATTTGGTAATTTTAATGTTGGCCATTGCTATAACTATTTATATCAATGTAAATTTGTCATCATGTTTAGAGCATGAAGGACTACAACATAAAACACTGCAGGGTTTCACAACGTTAGCACAATTTTGGAATTAAAGTCAGGCTATGGCAGAATACACGAGAATTCTATAAGGACTAAATCCTGTAAGGTTTCGATCTCTAGATAACACTGAGGGAAATCAATTCTTCTGAAAGCCCAATAAGCTCAGGAGTTGAAGTTACTCGGCACCTTGTGGGATCAAGCCCCAGTTCTCAAATGCACCAGGCTTGCAAGGGTAGTACAGTACAGCAAATTACTTCCATATTTTGTTCAATAATACAACATATAATTAAGAGGAGAAAGCCTTTACCAACAACTACAGTATTCTATGGGAATGGTCCCAGACAGTGCTTTGTCTCTTACTTCAAGAATATTTCTCTAAATGAAAAGAATTTTGTCAATTGTATATGTCTATTAGACACTATAGAGGAGGACATATAGCAAAGTTGCTTAAATTATAAACATATCAAATCTTCCCCTTGCATAACAGATGATATTTGAAATTAAGAGGCAATCCAATATCAATCCCCAAAATCTCACTTATCATCCAAAATTACACTCAGGTTAGGAGGCCATAGTTATTGACTCTGGTTGGAAACAGCTTATTCAACAAAGAAGCGGGTTTGTTTCAGAGACTAATACCCAGCTTCTATCAACCACTAACCTAAAATCATGAGTAACTCGCGGTTAAAAGCTCAGTGGAAGGATGGTTGAGTAGGTATGCTTTTCAATGTTAATTTTTATGTCTTTGCGGTGTCAAGTATACAACACAGTATGTCAGAACTCTGACTGTTAAAGCCAGTATTTAGACCCAAGACAAAGACATTTATTATAATAATTTTTGGTCTGCCTGTTTCGATGGTACATTAGCTCTCCTGCTTTTCTCTTTGGAACACTAAAACAACTATTTAAATTGCTCTTATGGTTCAAAATTACGGAAATGAGTCATCTTTTCTCAATAATAGTAATACAATTAGAATTAAAAAACCTCAAGAAAATGGTTTTGATTAAATAAAACTTTTTATTAATATACTGGAATTTCAGCTGTTCAAATGTGCAGTGAATTCATAGTTACAGTTGCCTGTCTATTTTTGTACCAAGAGAAATATTACATAGATCTACAATTTCCCATATGTATGGATGGCGTTTTCATGGTAGTGCTATATTTAAAATATAATTATTCTAATTGAGGAATTATTCCACTTTCACTCAAATTACTAAGGCAGTATCGTATAATCACATGCCTTCCACTAAATTTTAGAAACAAAAGCTTCAACCAAAGGACAAAAAATTACATGCAGTATAATTTCTATTTTATATCTACTTTCAAGAAATTGCACAAGTTCTCCATGTCTTCTGTTGCTTTGCCATAAAGAGGATTGGCAAAGGAAGGGGCACTTGTGTCCTTACTGGAAGCATGCTAGAAGAAAGGCATAAAAATGTCATTTCAACAAGAAGTCCTATATGGAAACAGGTATAAGAATGACAGTAGGCATTCGGATCTCCAAGTAACACGCAATGACACCTGCCTCGGAGACTAGCTGCATGTTCAAACTAAGCCAAATGTTCCTAAACATTTTGGTCCAGATTCTCAGTTGGTGTGAACAAGCATATTCCCCCTTGAACTGGATGATCGTGGGCTAGTCAGTTCTCTCTATAAAGGTTTCCCACCTGTGTCTGTCTTGTCTGTATAGACTATAAGCATTTTGGGGCACATTGCCACTATGACACTGTACAGTGCCTAGCACAATAGCAACTCCCAATTCTGATTTGGCCCTCTAGGTGCTACTCTACTACAAATAAATAATAATGATGATGATCTAACTTGTGGAGTACAATTTGCTGCATTGTTATTATATAGGTGCTTTGGTTAAATAACAGATTAAGTATATAAGTACCTAAGTACATTTTGAGCAACAAAATGGCAAATGAAATTTGATGCTGATAAATGTAAAGTAATGCACATTGGAAAAATAATCCCGACTTTACATGCAATATGATGAGAACTAATTTAGCTGTAGCTACTCAAGAGAGAGCTCTTGGAGTCATTGTGGATAGTTTTCTGAAATCATCCACTCAGTGTGCAGAGGCAATCAATAAAGCAAATAGAATGTTAGGAATCATTAAAAAAGGGATAGAGAATAAGACAGTGAGACAGTGACTATCTTATTGTCTCTATATCAATTCATGGTATGCCCACATCTTGAACACTATGTACAGATGTGGTTGCCTCATCTCAAAAAAGATATATTGGCATTGGAAACAGTTCAGAAAAGTGCAACAAAAATGATAAGGGGTTTGGAATGGGTGCCATATGAAGAGAGATTAAAAAGACTGGGACTTTTCATTTTAGAAAAGAGGAGACTAAGGGGGGAATATGATAGAGATTTATAAAACCATGACTGGTATAGAAAAAGTGAATAAGGAAAAGTTATTTACTTGTTCCCATAACATAAAAACTAGGGGGTCACCAGATGAAATTAATAGTTAGCAGGTTTAAAACAAACAAATGGAAGTTTTCCTTCATGCAGCACACAGTTGATTTTTTGAACACCTTGCCAGAGGATGTGATGACCAGGAGTTTAACAGGGTTCAAAAAAGAACTACATAAATTCATGGAGGGTAGGTACATCAATGGCTATTAGTCAGGATGGGAGGGAATGGTGTCTCTAGCCTCTGTTTATCAGAAGCTGGAAATGGGTGACAAGAGGGGGATCACTTGATGATTACCTGTTCTGTTCACTCCCTCTGGGCCATTTGTCCTTGGCCACTGTCAGAAGACAGGATACTGGGTTAGATGCAGGAGCGGACTGGCAATCAAAATAGACCTGGAAATGGCCGTCCCCATGACATCACCCCTGCGTGCCCCACAAGCCTTGCCCCCTTTCCCTGTGTCACGTCCACCATGCAGCACAAGTTGCAGGTCAGGCTCCATGTGCCGCATACAGCGCGGCCGTAGAGCTGCTCAGAGTGTGGGGCAACAACGGCCTGTCACAGGTAGATACAACAGCCCACCGGGAAATTCTAGGTATCCGGCTGGGCCAGTCCGCCCCTGGCTAGATGACCTTTCGTCTGACCCAGTATGACCATTCTTATGTTCTTATTCACTAATGTACTTCTTTTAGAGAGAAAACCCTAATAAGGAGATTTGAAAAAACATTTAAATTAGGATTTGCAGCCTAATTCAGAATTTCGGATTAAATTCCATACAACATTGTTTCAATCATTAATCTAGTTAAAAACTAAACACTTTATAGCTAAGTCATCTTCTTACATAGCACTCTGCCTAATTATGCTTAACTGTGGGAAATATGCTTTTCTGTTCTATTTAACAAAAGCAAGTAGAAACAAGGCTAAGTAGAGAAGTAGTTTGTCAATTTGTTAAAAGGAATGCAATAATCTGAGTGAGATTTGAAATACCCTCAGTAGGAATGAACATGGCATTTTGAAAAGAAATTGATACTTACCTCATACTGTGTTTGCCAGGGGGAAACACTGATTTGAACAACTGGCGAGGCAACACACTCAGGAGACTACAATAGAGATATATCAGTTTCAGAGAAACTTAACACAACAGTTTGTGACATTACAGAAACACGCAGCAGAAATATTGTCATCAAATGATACTACTGAGATTTAAAGAAAGCAAGATAAACAACAAGAATATGTCTAGATTACATGCCTCTGCCGACAGAGGTATGTAAAATAGGCTACCCGACATAGTCAATGAAGCTGGGATTTAAATATCCCAGGCTTCATTAAAATAAAAATGGCCGCCGCGCTGTGCCGGCTCAGCTGATCATCGGCACAGTATGTGAGTCAAGACGCAGATTGGTTGACAAAGGAAGCCTTTGTTGACTGCTCTGTTATACCTCATTTTAGACATACCCCATATGATACAGTTGTAGGGGTAAAAATGTGGCAATGCTAGATATAAACTGGAACTGTCAGGAAAGTCAGTTGAGCTAAATTTGTTAAGTACTTAACTGTTGCTTATCTACAAATTAGTGATACCGTTGCTGTGTGGTTATATTTTCTGATTGGAGATATAAGTCACTTAAACTTAATGTTCTTTAAGCTCTGGGAAAATAGCATAAACTTTGCATTAGGCCTTGCAGAAAAAAATATTGAAAGCACATATCATTCCATTCTTAAAGAAAACAAAAAAGAAAATCCAGTGGTGCACTGAATTTAAATCACAGTACCCAGGGATCTTTCATTCAGTATGAAAATATGTCTTCTGACACCACACTTCTGTTTTTCAACTTGCTATTAAGTGAAGCCTGTCAAGAATCTATTTCAACTGAAATAAAAGTTTCCTAGTAAAATGGACATGATTGTAATGGGAATGTTCCCAACATGCTCTTACAAACCCAAACCTGCAAGTGAATGAATCTGATCTAATGTTTCCAAAATCAGATGTGAGGAACTTTTTATAGAAAATAAATGGCATGTCATTGTTAATCCTGTTCAATACTCTGGTGGAATCTTATATTACTTTCTGAGGAAAGGATAAGAGAAATTTTATTGGCCATGGCATACCTAACCTAATTCTTATAGCTCTGTTAAGAGTACTCTCAAAATGAGGTACAGAAGATGGTTTAAAATTTAATTTGCACCTTTTATTTCCAAGGCAAATGTGTTCTTCATATGTTCTTCAAATGGGTTCTTTTTCATGTTCTTCATATGAGCTATTTTTAAACTAAAAAAAAAAAAGAGTCATAATGCCACAGCAACGTATTCAGTTAATAGGACTGCAGTGGCCTAACTTAGAGCAGAATTTTTGGCCCGCTGTATAATTTGATGCTTGAATCTCTTCTTCTTGAATCTTTACAGCTATATGAAGCTGTTTGATGTATAATTTAATAAGCAATGTTTTATTAGTAGAGTAAACTCAATCCTAGTCTATGTTATCATGGGCCATCGTTCTAAATTATGCAACTTCAGCTACATGAATAACTTTGCTGAAGTCAATGTACCTTAGATCTACTTACTGCAATGTCTTCACTGCAGAGATTCAATGGCAGATACTCTTCCACTGACTCCGCCTACGCTCTCATTCTGTGGAGTACCAGAGTTGACAGGTGAGCACTCAGCAGTTGATTTATACTAGATATGATAAATCAACCCCCATTGGATTGATTGCTGCCTGTCGATCCAGCAGGTAGTGCAGACATGTCTTCAGTTATGTTCAGCAAATGGGATAGGTAAAGCAGTACCAATAGTGATCCGTTCGTCATACTTTTTGCTTACTATAATATTTCATAGCAATGCAAATTGCAACATATGTAAAATATTAGGATGTATAACAGTTTTCACTAAATCCAATCGTTTGCATGCATGTAGCTAAGTGCTGTAGTTTAGCTACTCCTTTATGTCTTTAAAGTGCTCTTTAATTTCAGAAGCACAAGGAGAGAGGGCGGCCCAATGAATGCGTACTTGATCTGAACATCTGACCCTAAATAGGCTTACCAAAATAGCTGTTATTCAGGTTCACCAGCCAGAGAATATTAGCTGCAACCAAAAAGACATTCCAAACACTATATTGCATTCCAGTGGGTCTTCTATTGTAGTGAAAATACAGGGGAGCAGAAATCTTACCTTGACTGTGAATGGCAATGCAGTAGTTTTATCAGACTTATTTTCTTTATTTAAAAACATTCATTTGTTTTCCTGGGCAGCGTGTTTGAACAACACTGTGACTTTGGACTTTCTATTTTGTTAAGTTACATCTAGCTATTGCTACTTACCTTTACTTCCCCAGGTGAATTACGATCCTCGTACAGTGGGTTAGCAAATGCAGTATTATGGATTTTCTCCTGGGTCCTTAAAAAGACATAGACTATCAAATAGTAAAACTGCTTAAAGCTAGCCAAAAAGATAAAGGGAAAAATTCTTTCCTGTAGCAACTCCACTAAAGTCAATGGAATTACACAGGAGATGAATTTAGCCTACTGGGTTGTGTTCTATCTGTGAGCTTAGTGGTTTTTTAAAAGACAGAAAAATAGAATTATTTAACTTGTTTCTGATAAAAATTAATATACAATTTCACTTATCCATTGACTTATAGCATGATTTACAAAGTGTTGATTATGGAAATTTGGTGCTATATGATAGGGCCAAACAAGTAAGTTATAGGTTGTACAGCTTATGCTTTAATGGCACAGCAGGATCAGCCCACAGACATTGCAGTATAATGAGGAAGAGAGTGTCATGTGTTCTTAGACTTGCATGCTACACAAAACAGATTTTTAATGGAGGAGAGCCTGATGTGAAATAATTAGTAAGCTGTTCCAAGAATAAGAGACAAAGGGAACTGTTGGGGGCAGGGAACAATATGCAGTTATGGACACAGGAAGCCAGGAAAGGGCATAAAGGAGATATGGGCAGGAGGTTTGCTCTGAAAGAACCTCATCTTGCAAGGTGCCCTAACTACCTTTACTCCCCCTGACTAGTAAATGAAAATGTATGTGTCACTTATCAGCAGGATGCAACTAGCCAAGTGGACCTTGCAGCTTACTCATCCTTGGGAAGTCCCAGTTACTAATCAGTCTCTTACCTATAAACAAGCAAATTTTCAGCTTTGTAATCAAACTACTCATGATGTTTTTGTGGTATGGTAGAAACGGATTGAAGTAGTATTGCCAGACATTCAAATAAAACAGCTAATAGGCAGGGTAAATAACTATAACAAGAACATAGCATTGCACTATCGTATTATAAGTTATAACCATGCTACACTGGCAGCAGTATGGGGATAAGATCACTTTCTTTATACTATTGTTTTGCCACTAACCCTTGAGTAATCCAGTATGCATTAGTGTAAAATAAACTGTTCATGGGTAACTATGCATGACTAAATTTTTAAAGGGATTTTGGTGTTTCGCATCCATTAATTAAAAAAAAATATTGCTCATATTCTCAAATGTCAACTCGTAATATTGAAAGAGATTTTTTTTAAATCACCTTCCAAGTAAATAAGCTGTAGTTATACTTTAAAAAAACCTTCATCATCTTATTTTGAGATTACTTAAAAGTAACCAGATTGGATTTTCATTTGTAAAACCCGTCACCTGTGTATGGTGCTTGAATTCGTCAACTGTGGGATGAGATGCTTGCCCGCACAAAGTTGCGCTGGCAAAAATGGATACCAAACTGATGTTGCTTTGCAAATTTGGACCTATATCCTTGAATGTGATCATGGGGTATTATACCTTTGGCTAATTAGGAATACAGTGATTGTCAGACTGGAACAGACAGTGGTTCATTCACTCCAGCATCGTACTTATGTGGATGCTGCAGAGAGAGGTGTAGAACTACAGTATTTCACAGTTGATGAAAATTCTTCCTTATGTCAGCTGGTTGTCAGTTTAAACCCTAATTTTAAACTGCTTGAAGAGGTTTACTAAATATATTATAAGCGACCTGAGTTAATCTCATTCTTGCAATGCTTGCTGTTACTTGACTTTACTCTAGTTGGAAACAATAGCTCATGGCTGCAGCTGTGAGTTATATGTCCATCCCAAGGTCACACAATGGAAATTAAGATATGTATCTTGTGTCAGCCCTCTTCAGAAAAGGGTAAACCAAAAATAGTCCAAAATAACCAGTCCATAGGTCATGCTTATAAAACTCAGCCATGTAGAATACTTTGCATATGAAAAGCCAATAAATTTCAGATTAAACAAAACTGGAAAAAGAAGAGATCAAGTAGGGGTTAAAATGCCAAATGGTTGGATTTTTAGGAAAAACAAAAAAAACTGAATGTGAAACAGCTCAGAGAAAATTGAGGGTTTTTTAAAAACATAACTAGAACCTTTTCCACAAAAAGCAAAGGAAAGAATTAATCATCTTGGGTTACACACCAGATTGCATGGGTGATATTTTGCTAAACACAATCCCATGATGGAGCAGCAGTTGTTTCTTTTGTGCAGATTCCACTCACCATAAATTGCACTGTACAGAGATTGGAGAAAGTTGTATTGATCACAAAAACACTTGCCAGTGTTTAAAAGAGATCCTTGAGTGGAATAATGTTTTTTAATGGAAAAGTCAATGTATCTGGATTTAATTGGTTTGGATGTGACAATTCAGAATTCTGACTTCAAAACCAAACATTGTCAGTTTTACCCAGAACACAACACACAATGCAACATCATTTATGTTATAAGAAGAGCATTCCCCCAATTGAATTTACTATACTCATAACCAAAACAGAACTAAACAAAATCACACAGCTATAGGACAGACCAGTCAATTCTAATTACACTCATCTCTTGAACACAGACTTTATAGATGTTTCAAACTGTAAATCTAACTAAAAGTCTTTGTTCTTAAAATATTTACAAACTTTTTTAGACACAATTTATGTTTGAAAAATATAGTGCATTCATTTTATTCTGCAGAGGAAATGGATGTCAGGGTTCAATCTGGGTAGACTCAAAAGACAGTTATGGTAATTGATTTAGAATTACTGTACCTCTGGGTTTCTTGCTTGATTAGGCTGCTAATATACTGTCTTGGCTATCAAGTTCTGTACTTTATTTCCTTTTCAGTTACTTTTTTTTTCTACTTTGTGGGGTTTTTTAAGAAAACCTTTGCATCCCTCATTTTGGTGATGTCCAACGCTAAGACTGAGGCCGTGTCTAGACTACATCCCTTTTTCGGTAAAGGGATGTAAATTAGGCATATCGATATTGCAAATGAAGCCGGGATTTGAATTTCCCACACTTTATTTGCATATGGCAGCTTTTTTTCGAAATGGGGCTTTCGAAAAAAAATGGCAGTTTAGACAGGGCATTTTCAACAGAATTTCCCCATTTCAAAAGATCCTGTGATCCTCAGGATCTTTGAAGAGTACAAGATCTTTTCGAAACTGGGCATTTCTGTCAAAAATGCCCCGTCTAAACTGCTATGGATTTTTTTTTATTTCGAAAAAGCCCCATTTCTAAAAAAAGCAGCGGTCACCATTATGCAAATGAAGCACGGGAAATTCAAATCCCAGCTTCATTTGCAAATTTGACATGCCTAATTTACATCCCTTTATTGAAAAAGGGATGTAGTCTAAATGTAGCCTGAGTGGTCTTTGTTTTCTCTCCTCCAGTTATTTTGTACTCTTTGTCCTAAGTGTAATAGACATCAGAACTATAATTTATGAATAAAAGAGCAAGAACAAATCAAGATCTTCTTACTGTGTCATTGAGTGTCCTTTCCAGGAAAATGGGGTGGTGGTGGAATTTTCCCCTTTACAAACAAAGTTGTCATTTGGAGTGCTTTCTTAGGCTGATTAATCAGTGTATGTTGAAGAGCTACATGCTTATTGACTCCCAGTTTTGTGCTTTGACTGCAAGACCAATCTCTCTCTTTCCTCTGATCAAAAGATCAGTCTGCATCTCTGTTTGTGGGATGGGGGGAAATAACTGGCATTAAAGAGGATGAAAATCAAGGGGAAGATGGGCAGAGAGAAAGATGAGGAGAAGGACCTGGTAGGAGAGAGAGACTGGAAAGAAAAACAGAGAGAGAGAGATACCAGAGGTATCTTGGAAAAGCTATGCTGCATCCAAGGAACGTGTCCGCTTTTCTGAATATTTTTTTAAAAGTAGACACGCTCTTTTGCCGTTCCTGTAAACCTCATTCTACGAGGCATAAGGGATGTGTTGAAAAAGCAGGTTTTTCCAAAATCTAGCACCATGCAGATGCACCATATTTCAGAAAAGCCTCTTTCGAAAGAGAAGCAGAAAAAGATATGCAAATTGTGAATCTCAATTTGCATATATTTTTCTTGCTTTTCTTTGTAGTCTAGACATAGCCAGAGAAAGAGAGAGAGACTGTAGAATGGAAAGAAGGGCTGAGAGAAGTGGAATGGAAAGGCAAAGAGTGTTACTAAGGCAACCCCAAGAGACTTGTCAGTGATTTGTGAATCTGAGGGTTATTGCTCAAAGATTTTAAAAGACGAGTGACTGGTTAAAGAGAACCTGTGTAGCAGCATTATAGAAACAGCACTTCAGCATTCCAGCCATTCTTGCAATGGTTTTCCTTTCTCCTTTGATAGTTATGGAGGAGACATTTTATATTGTCGTACATCAGCAGACAGATAGATTCATTTTATTTGTCCAGCACTGCCAGCACACAAGGCACATGATAGACAGGGCCCAGGCTTTGAAGAGCTCACAATCTAGATGGACACGTACAAAGATTATATGTGAACAGAAAGGGAATGTCTACACTAGGAAATTTATTTTGAAATAGCTCCTGAAATAACTATTTTGAAATAGCGTTTCCATACCAAAGGGAAGCCTTGAAATTAATCCAAGGTAGGCTCCCTTAGCTCTGGTCTACACTAGAGAGTTACTGTGAAATAACAAGCGGAGCATCCAGACTACAAAGCCTGTTATTTGAAAATAAGGGGCTGGTTATTTTGAAATAACAACTCCTGCTTTCCACAAGGAATATTGCTTATTTCAAAACAGTTTTTTGAAATAGCAGTAGTGTGGATGCTCCACTGCTGCTATTTCAAAATAACTACTCCCCAGAGTCATCCAAAGGAATTACTCCCCAGGGGCTGTAAGTCGAGGTAGCGCATCCACCTTCAGGGAGCCTGCTTTGGACTAATGTTGAGGCTTCCCTGTAGTGTGGACACACTAAAAGAAAATAGAGTGGGTGTGGAGAAGAGGATGGGGGAAGAAAAAGCACTCTGAAAGGTAAAGAGGAAGAGAGCACACATCTTAGTAATGCCACAAATCTTGTTTCAATTCTTATTTGTTTATTATTTATATAAATGAGTAAAGTATTCAGTCTTTTGGAACTAATCTTTTTATTAGAATAATGTTTCTATTCTATGCAGAATAATTTTCACAGGGACAGGGATGCTTTACAAAAAAATTTTTCTGTGCAACTATTTTAGAAAATTGTTAAAGCAAAATTCTGCTCTCTGAAGAGCACACAGTGCGCCTGCTGGCTTCCAGGGGAGATGGAGGTGTGCATCTAAGAGCTGAATTTGTACTTAGAGATTTTGAGTAACCACAGATGTCTCCTATGTCCTCCCATTTAAAGACTAAGTTAAAAAAGACAGGTGTTGCTGAGCTCTGATAGATCCTGGGGCTCTGTAATTCAGTGATAATGGCGCACTTAAAGTACTCTAAACAATTAAGATGCATTTCACTGTTTTCACTTTGAGGTCCACTGAAGTTAGCTTATGGTGCAAAGCTAGGTTTTGTGTTTATAGCTGCATATACAAGGCAAACAGACTGAAAGGAGATTTAAAAGCTGAAACCACAGAATCTGGGCAATTAGCCATTGCTTTGTGGTACATTTTTTGGTGCTTTTGTGCGCGCGCGCACACACACACACACACACACACACACACACACACACACACACAGACACACACACCCCCCAAGGCTTCACTTACATTTTTGTTACTTTCTTCTTCCAAAGGACACACAACACAACGATCGTGATTTTGATCAGTAGGAAAGCTAATGCAATGCCCAAGCCAGTCCAAATATCTGCAAAGTCAGACGAATGAAAGAGATGAATAAGCCCAGGGAGGGAAAGACTGTAAGAATGTCTTGAATCCTGTTAATGTCTTTGTAAATGACCCACCATTTCGAAGGAGAATTGGAGCTGAACCTGGGGGAGGATTAACCTTGATGTGGCAACGATTTCCTTGCCATTCTTTTCCACATCTGGGAATAAGATAAAAAAGAAATTTGTGAGAGAGGATCTGGGAGAGCTTTCGAGCAGAGAAGGTAGGGAACATGCTAAAGCAGGAGTGGGAAACCTAAGGCCTGGGGGCTGGATGAGGCTCCTGGGTTGCCTGGATCTGGCCCCACAAGGCTTAGGCCCTCTCCCAGCATTTGGGAGTCTGTGCTCATACTCCAGCACCCTCCTTGTAGCGCCCAGCCCCTGACTGATTTTTCTGTGGGTCAGTGACCCCCGACCCAAAAAAGGTTTCCCACCCCAGTGCAAAAAGATGACTGGAAGCATGGGAAAGCCTAACTGAGGTAATCCAAATGCTTGGAAGGCATGTATATCTGTGTCCAGAATGCAAAACCTGCAGGAGCAAATTTTATGGAATGAAAATGCAAATTATAAACACAAAGACCAAACCTTACCGGATGATAAACAGCACCCTGCTTACTCTGCCATTACTGTCCATCACCAAACAGCCAGGGCTGGCTTAAGAAAGGCAATCTACAGGCTGCAGCCCGGGGACCTTGGCTAAGTGGGGGACGGGGGGCTCAAAAAGTTCTCCAGCCTGATAAAAGTGCAGCATGGGCCCTGGGCTGCAGCCACTAAAGCCTCTGCATTCTGGCCCTGACTGGCAGGTCTGGAGGGCATGGCTCCATGTGCTACTACCCCTCTTCTCAGCCTCCAGGCTAGGGACAGAAGTGCTGGGACTCTCTATCCCTGTGTTTCCCTTGCCTGCAGGTTCTGCCCCCCTACAGCTCTCATTGGCTGCTTCCAGCCAAGTGCAGGGCAGCTCTCAGCACATCCTGTCCCCTCCCATCCCTGGGGCCTGACATCAAAGGGAAGTTGTCCCAGGTAAATGGTCTACACTCCAACTCCCTATCCCAACCCTAAGATCCCTTTCACACCCTAAATCCTGCCCAGATCCTACAACCCACCCCATGCTCCTGCCCTGAGCCCCTCTCACTCCCTAACTTCTTCCCAGACCCTGCATCCCCATCTCCTGTGCTGAACTATCTCTCACACTCCAAACACCTTGGACCCAGCCTGGAGCCCCCTCCTGCACCACAAATGCCTCATCCCCAACTTCACCCCAGAACTCACACCCAGAGCCAGAAACCACACCTCCTCCTGCACTCCAACTCTGCCTCAAACTGCAGTCTCCTCCCACACTCTAAACTCCTCATTTTTGGCCTCACCCTGAAGCCTAGAGGGCACCACAAAATGTAATAGCCCTGGACCTCCAGAAGAGTTAATCTGGCCCTGTAAACAGCATCTTTCTATACTAATAGCTGACCAGTGTGATTTATTCACCTGTTTTCTTTGTCTCCGGTATGAATAAGAAACATTACTGAGTAGACAGTCTAGTCTCCCTAGTGGAAAGGAAGGCAGGGGAGCCAGGAAGGGAAAGAAAGTGTGGTGTAAAACCTCTGCCCAATCCAGTATAATGGGGATGTAAGACATCTAACTTTTTGTATTGCAAGTCATGACACCATCTATGTGTTTTGTTAGTCTTTAAGGTGCTACTAGTGTATTTGTTGGGTTTTTTTTTTAAAGTTTTCCCCATTATAGACTAACTTGGCTACCCCTCTGAAGCTTTCCGTTATCAGTTATTATAAGTCATGTAAGTTTCAGTTATTGAGTTGGGTAATTTTCTGTTATTGTAAATCACGTAACTCTTAAGTTATTGTAAGTTATGTAATGTTTTAAGTTCCGCAACTTCTTGTAAACTTGTAACTTCTGGTTATTGCTTGTACAACTGTTAAGCTTTGTAACATCCCATCATGGGAGAAGGGAGTGTGTGGGTGTGTGTAAGTGATAAGAGAGTGTGATTAGGGGAATGTCTGTGCCTGGTGGAAAGGAACCATGAGGCTGCAGACTTGGAGCCAGGTGGGGTCTGATATAATCTTCGCTTGCACATGAGTTAGGCAAAAATGCAGCAAAGATGAGAAGAAGAACTTAATATGCATGAGGAGAATGAGGTCTGGACAGGCCTCGCGGTCATGGACACAGAAAAAGAACTCAGTGTACGTGACCGAGCCACCTAGCTCAATAAAGAGAAGAGAGCATGCAAACCACGGGTCATACCATCAGCTTGCCAGCCCAGATTTGTGACTGCAGACAGACAAACTGGACCCACCATGCTTGGCTTCTTTTGCTATCTTTGTGTAACTCATCAATTGCGTGTCTGAATGTGTATGTGCATTTGTGAAGGAGTTCCATTCCCTTTTTCGCTTGATCCAACAGTGGCATTGAATAAATCAATATAAATATACGACCTTGGTTTGGTCTCCAGTGAAATTAGGTAACAGAAAGAATCTGTGGTTTTTTTAATTGCTATCTATTAATTTGTTCTTTTATTTTTCTTTTCAAAATACAATCCTTAAGTAACTTTCCACGGTAAAACCAAGCACCCATAATAAACCAGCCGTCTCCAACCCTTTCAAATGACTATAAAACTGCTGCTCTCTTCACTTTAAGTGAGTAGATATTCAATTGTGGAAACAATAGAGCATACTCTTGAGCTCATCATGTATGAATGCAATGATGAGGCAAAGAATCAGTTTGGTGCAGCAGTTTCATTGACCTGTGAATGCATAAATCCAGAAGCATGTCTGTAATCCTAATATCCAGGAAGTTCTACCATCCTGGTAGGTATGATGGCCTCTTGCCTTTTACAGATGCTTGGCTCCTTTTCTTCATTGCCATTTTGTACTAATATTTTAATTTAGAGCCAATAAATCACACAGACTCTTTTATCAAGTTTATAAAAAAGGACAGGTAAATCCTATATGCACTATATACACACAAACTATTAAAAGAACATTTCAAATGTTGAAAAGTTAGGAAATCCTAAATTCCTTGTACAACCTTAAATTGGGCCTATTATGCCTATGCATTTTATACAGTCTTTAATGATATGGTCACAACCCTTGTTATTTCTCTATAAAGGGATTAGGGGGAAGAAAGTGAGATATCAGAGATCCATGTAGTTTAAGGCCAGAAAGTACCATTAGGTTATTTAGTCTGACCTCCTTTATATCACAGGCCAGTTACTTTATTTATATTCAGCCAGTTACCCCTGTATTGCACCCAACTTGTGTTCAACTGAAGCATATCTTTCAGAAAGATATCCCGTTTTGATGTGAAGAAAATCAAGAGATGGAGAGTTTGCTGCTTTGCAGTTTGTTTCAATCATCAGTCACCTGGCTGTTAAAAAAGTGTGCCTTATTTCTAATTTGAATTTGTCTGTGCTCAGCTTCTAGTCATTGGTTCTTCTTATGCTATTTTACTAGATTAAACAGCCTTTTTGATACTCAACATTTTTACACCATTGAACACTGCAGTCAAGTCATCTCTCAGTCTTCTTTCTGATTACAGTTTGAGCTCTTTATATCTTTCAGGCTACATCTAGACTACAAAGGTAAGTCGGAAAAAGATACACAAATTGGGAAGCACAATTTGCGTATCTTTTTCTGATGTTCTTTCGAAAGAGGCTTTTCCAAAATTTGGCACATCTACACATTCTTTCAACACATCTCTTATGCCTCGTAGAAGATGTTTACAGAGTTGGCAAAAGAGTGCATCCGCTTTTTTTAAAATGTTTTCGGAAAAGCAGACACGTTTCTAGGAGGTGGCATTGTTTTTCTGGGATACTTCCGGTATCCCGGGAAAGTACTGCAGTCTAGATGTAGCCTTCATGTATTGTATTTTCTCTGGCACTGCATTTTTTTTGGTTCTTTCTTGCATGCCCTCATATTTTTCAACATTCTTTTTAAACTGTGGCTGGCAGTACTGGATACTGTAAGCCAGTACTGGTCTCACAAATACTAAATCTAGAGAGAAATTTACCTCCCTAGTCTCCTGGACACACATCCATGCATCCTGTTAGTTCTTTGTGTCACAGCATTGTGCTGTTGACATGATGAGTTGCTTATTCACTATAACCCCGTATTTTCTTCATCAGAGTCATTGCTTTCTGATTTGAGTACTCTAATCTGTAGCAATGGTCTTGTTTTCCTTGTTCTGAGAGGTATATCATTGCGTTTGGCTATACATATTAAGTGGATTAAGAAAAGGCTAACTGACAGATCTCCAAAAGTAGTTGCTAATGGTGACTCATCATTGAATGGGGGTGTTTCCCATAGGATTCCACAAGGACTAGTATTAGACTTGAAACTATTAAACATTTTCCTCAGTAATCTGGAAATAAACACAAATTGCTGCTGACGTTTTGTGAAATGAGGAAAGAGTAGAAAGGGAATTCACTTACTAGTCAAGACTTCCAGCCTTGGCTTCACCATTTATTTTATTTTTTTTCTTTTTATCTGGTAGTAGAGGAAATTTGGTGGTAGTATCAACCACTGAATAAAATGAAAATCCATCCGACAAATCTTGTGTTTGTCATCTAGGGAATTACCCAAATGCTTCAGTGCCTTTCTTTAATTACAAATTGAAATCATTCCAAACAAAAAGTTGCAAATGATGTTTTCCCCATCCAGCTGAGATACCTGGATTTCTTACTGTTTCTGAATGCCCAAGTAGCCTTCTTTCATCTGTGGTGGCAAGAAATCTGTAGCCCTTCTTGACAGATTCAGACTTAGCTGCAATGATCTAGGCATTCCTCACTCCTAGATTAGTTACTGTCATTTTCCATTCTTAGGTATTAAATTGCTGATCCTGTTAAAGTTTAAATTGATCAAGAATACGACAGACTGACTGCTCAACAACACAGGTAGTTGAGAGAACATGCCCCCAAAGTATTTCACTGGCTTCATAATGAATTTCAGGCCAAACACAGTGTCTTTGGTCCTATTCTCACAGCTGCCCACAATGCACAGCTACACCCTGCATGGTTAGCACAAAGGCAATACTCAGTGGGACACAGAACTACTGGCCTGAAGTGTGAAACTCATCAGGGCAGAAGACCTAACTTTTTCTGATACAATTTCATAATCCTAGAGAGTACCCCTGGAAGACACCAAGCTGGTCCTGA